AAAAAAAAGATAACGAAGGAGGAGGAAGACGAGGAGGTGGAGGAGGAGAAAGGAGGAGGAGGAGGAGGAGGAGGAGGAGGAGGAGGAGAGAAGAAGCCGAACGGAGGGGAAGGAGGAGGAGGAGGAGAGAAGAAGAAGGGAGGGGGAGGAGGAGAAGGAGGAGGAGAATGATGATGAGGAGGAGGAGGAGGAGGTAGGAGGACCTGCCGATTTTGAGTTGCGTTGACGGAAAAAAAAAAAAAAAAAAAAAAAAAAAAGATAACGAAGGAGGAGGAAGAGGAGGAGAAGGAGGAGGAGAAAGGAGGAGGGGGAGGAGGAGAAAAGAAGCCGAAGGGACCAGCGATTTTGAGTTTCGTTGACGAAAAAAAAAACAAAAAACAAAAAAGAGGAAACTAGGGCACTGTCAAGGTTTTCAGTTTTAAATGCGTTTCAGTCACTCTTTCGCAAATTTTACTCCAAACTTCCAAAGCAAGGAAAATCGTGAATGTATCCAACCCAGCTTTAGGGTTGGATGGGGATGTCTTGTATTCAAGGGATGCCTGAAGTGGATTTAGAACTGAAAACGTGGCAGCGCCGTAGTTACTCCAAAAAAAAAAAAGATGACGAAGGAGGAGGAAGAGGAGGAGGAGGAGGAGAAAGGAGGAGGAGGAAGAGGAGAGAAGAAGCAAAGGGAGGGGGGGAGGAGGAGGAGGAGGAGGAGCAGGAGGAGGAGGACGAGGAGGAGAGATGGAGGACGGGGAAGGGGAGGAGGAGAACCAGCGGGAGGAGAGGAGGAGGAGGAGGAGGAGGAGGAGGAGGAGAAAAGACGACGCACTTCGCCTGACACGCGCCACGTGGCACTTCGCCTGATAAAGAACACGAACGAGGAGGAGGAGGAGGAGGAGGAGGAGGAGGAGGACGAGAACGGAGGATGAGGAGGAGAGATGGAGGACGAGGAAGGGGAGGAGGACCAGCAAGAGGAGAGGAGGAGGAGGAGGAGGAGGCAGTGAGGATGATGAAGGGGAGGTCGATGGCAGCAGCTCCTCCCTCGCAGGGCAGCACGGCGGGACGGCAGCACGGCGGCAGCTCCTCGTCGAAACGGCGATGGCAGCAGCTCCTCCCTCGCAGCGCAGCACGGCGGGACAGCAGCACGGCGGCAGCTCCTCGTCGAAATGGCAACAGCAGTCCTCGCAAGAATGGCCGTCGCTCCACACACCCACCCTAGAGGCCCAGCCACGCCCACGAACAGTGGAAACTACGAGAAATAGCAGGTTTCCAAAATTCGAAACCTGGCGGTCCGGCCTTTAGCGCGGTCGCAAAAAAAAAAAATTTGGCCTTCGAAACATTTTTGGCGGGGGGCCTCCGAAGTGACGTTTTGACCCCTGCCTTTTTTTTTTTTTTGGGGGGGGGGGGTCCCCCCAGACGGCTCGTGCGCCACACGGTACGGTCCGGCCCGTGCGCCAGACGTCTGGAAAATCGCGCACGACGTCTGCTTGCAAGTACGTTTTTCAAGCTTCTTCAGACTTTTTCTGAATTTTAGCCTATTTCATGAGATCTTTTGTTTGATAGGCTAAAAAATGCTCATGATCTTATTCTTAGCCGAAGCCGGGTAATGACCCTGGTATCTTAAGTTTTTTTCCGTAAAAAAAGAGGTGAGTGGGACAAGTAGATGTGGGATATCAAGCGTCCTACTAGTGAGAGGGCTAGCTTGTAGGATGGAAATAGGGTACAGAAGCAGCGGAGATGGTGGCTCTGCTGCAGTAAGTCTTGCCGGAGTGAGGTAAAGAGGATTGATGGGGGGTTTCTGAGTCGTTCTGAAATTTGCCTACGTTCTTTTTTTTTTGTCATACTTTTTAAAAAAATTTCAAAAAAAAGGGATAGCCAAGTGGAGCGTCTTGTGGAGTTTCGGGGGACCTGCTTTGAAGTAAGGGGCAAGGGGCATGACATGATTCTTCGCAAGGACGGAGAGGGGGATGGAATAGGGCTGCTCCATGCGTACCGGCTAGAGGGAGTCTCTTATCAGATGCGATTGGCGTCAGGTAGTTTAGGCTGTCTGATGGGTACCGGCTGATGAGGGCGAACCTTGGCGCGATTGGCGTTGGGTAGTGCTGGTTCACCTCCTTAAGGACGGAGACTGGAATTCTTGTGGTGGCAAAGAATTTCAGGGTGATGATGGTGTTCGGTCCCTGCTGAGATGAGGTACTCTGGAGTTCTTTACGAGGACGGAGATGGGGAGGACAGATGCGATTTGGATGGAGGAAGTTGGTGGTGGATGTGATTGGCGTCAAGTATCTCTGCGGGTACCGGCCACTGGCCGCTAACTCCACCTGGATCAGCCTGAGGTTCTTCCCTTCGATGATGGAGGCAGGATTTTTCTGCTTTGTCTGCTTGTCTGTTTCAGGGGTTACAGGTTTTTCTAAGTGGACTCATCCTCCTTCTGGGGGAATATTGCTGAAGTAATTTTTAAATAGTATCCATTTCATTACCATCAAAGGACGTTCCCTGCTCAGTTAATCCCCTGGTTTCAGGGTAATCAATGCTGGCAGGGAGAGGTCCTCTAAAACTTCCTCAAAAAAGATCCTCGTTGAAGCGTAAATGTTCTTATGAGACGCTGAACCTGGTTTCCAGCAGGTGCTGCTCCCCACGAATAGATTGGAGCTTTTGTCCCAAAAAAAAAAAAAAAAAAAAAAAAAAAAGATAGCTACCTCGCCCTTCTTCTGGCGTGCATATTGAATGATCTCATTCAGTAACATGTTATGGCCCAAGCCTTCGCCACAATTTTGTATGGGACCGGACACAATGTTATTGGGCGGTAGTTGCAAATCTCCTCCCGGCCGCCCTCTTTGTGTTAAAAAAACAAAAAAAAAAACAAAAGGAACTGCATGTTAGTCTTGGATGGTATTGGACGATGCCAGGTGCTAGGGATGCTGATAGGAGCAAACATTACTAGCACCCCCGGAGAGGCTCCATCTATTGGTGGGGAGCAACACCTGCTGGAAACTGGGTCCAGCGTCCTTGGGAACATTGTAATTGTGGGCTTGTATTGTTACCACTAATGTTGTTTTCAAGGGACGCTGGACCTGGTTTCTAGCAGGTGATGCTCCCCACCAATAGATGGAGCTCTTTTTTTCTTTTTTTTTAAAATGACTGCATGACACTATTGAATTCAGGGAAGGCCGCTAGCTCAATGGGTAGAGCACCGATTAGAAATGCGAATAGTGGTTTGAGGTTGTGAGCTCGGTTCTCAGCATGTGCTGCTCCCCACGAATAGATTGGAACATTTTGTTAAAAAAAAAAAAAAAAAAAAGGTTGTGAGCTCAAAACTCTGCACCCCTGTGCATTGACACCAGCGGGCGTTTTACCACCAGTACTTCGTTAAGTAACGCGCCACAATTTTAGGAAACGTACGGGCTACTACAGGAGCATCCACATTCATCCGACTAGAAACGTTTTTACTCTTTTTTTTTTCCGTGGCCGATAGCTGGGCCAATTACTGGTGGTTTAACCAATGCATGGTCATTCACACACGCCCTTTGGGTTGCCGCATGGTAAGGATTACAGACACTGCCTGTACCACCCAAGAAGTTCAGTCCATGGTTGCTTCATGCTCAAGTCTAGGCTATGAGAGGTCTGCCTGATGTTCTTGGTCCATGGGTTGTTCTGTTGATTGCTCACGCACTTGCCTCCCAGTCTAGTACAGCGCACAAAGAGACTAGTCTAGGCTATGAGAGGTGTGCCTGATGTTCTTGGTCCATGGGTTGTTCTGTTGATTATTCACGCACTTGTCTCCCGGTCTAGTACAACACACAAACAGACTAAGTTGTCACTGTAGCTCACTGGGTTTATGCTAGGGGCACAAACATACTAGTTGTTATTGTACGTTAGCCTGTTCGAGCTAGGTGCTCTATAGAAGAGGTTTAGGGTTCGAATCTGATCAGGCCAGGCGGAGCATATTTGCACAGAGGTTGGGATGCAAGGCAACAATGAGACAATACAATGGATACACAATAAGAAGAAGATGATATAAGCTTTAATATCGTGATGCCATCACCTTCTCCCCGGCACAAAACCTCAACCCACACTGTTGAGGAATCTCAATCCTTCCACTCATACGTCACTCAGATCGAGGTATAATTCCTACGCTACTACTTCTTAAATAGTATCTAATTACTCTGCTACGCCATACTGAAAAAACGTAGAATCGCAAAGTACGGACTCTCATACCGCTCGTTTCCGCGTGCGCGGTAGCTCAGCTTTCCCGCCGGCGCGCCAACCTGCACTTACTGCAGGTCATATTTTTACCGGCTTAAACACCCTATTCCCGATACTTGGACTCGGTACATTGTGCCCGTTGAAAAATAATACAACACGCTAAGCGTGGTCCACACAGCCACACTTACCCCGTACATTTTCGTCCCATAATTACGAGACTTAATCGGGCCTACTTATCTATCCAGGTTCCCCTTTAGTATAAACAGTCGGGTCCTTATCCACAACTTTATACCTCTGTAGGAGGAGAGAGAGGAACCAATAAGCTTTTCTGGTTCAGTCGAAAAAATGGTCGTTGTAGCCGACGACTGTACATAGGACAACCACTGTCGCAGACGGGCGATCCGTCATGCACGGTACCGATCTCATATTTGGTTCAGACGTTGTACCATCCCCCAGCAACCTGTAGCTCAGCCCGCTACCTGCAGGCTCAAAACCGGTTATCGACAGAAAAGTTGCTGATGACTATGCACAGCGCACCATCTGTTACGCAAGCAGGAGATCTCTACCGAATCTCATATCATTCGTAGAAGATCAAGTATCCTGGCCCAGAAGAGCGTGTTCGCTCGGCGCTGCATCCAGCGTAGCCCTGCCAACAGGACCTTACCTGGGTAATCCGACTTCTCCAACTCTTTTGCCAGGGTTAATATGCCCCAACATATGAGTCCGTCATCGTTACAGTTCACCGAAATCCAGAGGATTGTATTAGCAACGGTGGAGTATTTCGCTGCAGTGGGTCCAGACGACCTGAAGGACTTATAGGTCTGAAACCGTAGCCCAGACTCAGTCCAGATGGTTTGTGCGTTCTTAAATTTGTGCGCCAGTAAAAACTCACCCTGTTCCTCATAAATTACGATGGGTCTCCAAAAAATCCAGAACCCCAACACCTGGGTCCGTACGTTCCAAAATCAATCCTTTAGGATATATCTTGGTGACAAAATCAAGCAGCCCCTCCGCCTTCTTTCTGCTCTCTGGGTAGTTCCTTCGAAAAAACGCCAGGATCAACAAGTCATCAATGTATCTCTTTCTTGAGATCAATTTAGCATCAGTCCCCAGTGACCAAATAAAGCCGCATTCAGCGTACATGCACATAACACATGCTAACGAAAGGTTGGCTCGGCCTCCCATTGGAATACCTTTTTTCTGTCTTAGAATAGTATCTGAGACTAGAAAAAAGGTGTTGTTTAATGAGAAATTAGTGAGAGAAATCACTTTACTCAAGCGGATGGATTTCCAACCGGATTCGCCGTGGGATTTACCAAAACAAGCGGTCCGTTTCTTTGAATTGATCCTGATCCATTTGATCCCTTCCTGATGGAACAACCCCACAATCCACTCAACTGCCTTCCGGATCTCTTCGTGAGGCAGTTGTGAAAACATTTCTTTGATATCGTATGAGCGTGCAACTACTATCAGTTTGTCGTCCTTACATCTCTGGTTGATATTACCGACCGCATCTTTTACGCCACTTAGCGATCGGAGATTAAAATGCGGTACTTCAGCTCTCCTTATTAGTTCGTTCAGGGTTATAGACAATACCCCGGCTGCCGCTCTAAATGGACTAAGGTAAGAGGGGACGATCGGCCTCCTCTCACTTTTGTCTTTTTCTTTCGGCATAATGTAAGCATGCTGCTATTTCCCCCTTCGGTCCCATGGAGCGAACTGATCCAACGTCTTTCTTATACTCCAGCTTCATGTGATTGAGAATCACATCCTTGCCATCCTCAATTGTCTCATAGTTATCGTTCTTTAAGAACATCTTGTCCAACCCGTCAGCGTAACGCTTCGGACATTCGATCCACGTCTCGTTCTGATTCCTGTCCAGCGGGGACAGGACCAGCCCAGAGAAGGATTGTTTCAGCCCTCGTACATATTCACTGAGCATACACTGTGGATCCCTTGCTACACCCTTCCTGGCAACTTTGAGCAAGTCAATATGGAATACTTTGTCACACAATCCCTTGCCCCTGAGACAATCCAATGCTTCATTATAGGCCGAGTTAATCATTCTCCGAGTGTCCATAACTCCCGGAAAAGGGATATTCTTAGCGTTGCAAACAAAGGGGTGGATGTTGTTCAACTCACTAATCTTGACCGCTACATGCCCGTCAATCCTAGGCAAGTCAAAGTCAGCGCAACAACACTCAAGGTTGCTGTCTTGCGCAAATAACTTTTGGTTATGCAGGAGATCTCCCACCGATTTAGCCTTGAGCCAAACGGTCTTCGTTCTCCTTGTATACAAATCAGCCAGTGAGTCTGGTTGGATTGTTGCTAACATCCAACTCTTCACCTCTTTTTCAACTTTCCCTTTATTTACCGTTGTCCAAAACGGCATCTTTACAACAATATTCACCCGAGGGTTAATACCAAACTTCTTCTAAAACACATTGGTAAGTATGTCTTAACCGCATTGTTCAGGTCAATCATTTCCTCCAGATCATTCTTCCACAAGTCGCGGCACTTCCATGGTGCTCGCAGCAGTGCGATTTGTTCAGCCTTCTTCAGATCCGTTTTAGTTATGGTACGCATCAGCTGAGAAATCCTCCATACCCCACCTAGCTCGATCTCAGACTTAGCATCCTTTAAGAGGTGCTTGGACCCCCCGATTTCAATTATGGTAAAACCAAACAATAGAGAAATCAATCGCCAGGCTTTAAGCCAGCGACCACCTGGGTTGTTAATAATAAGAACATCCTTCTTAATCTTCTCCTTCAACAAGATTTTCAGAATACTCAGCAAGTCTGGGTCGTGCACAGTGTTAGTTAAAGCACAATTAAACAACAGAGGTTCCCCCACATTCGCGATAACTTTAACTGCTCTATTCCGATTACCTCTCGGCCTTCGTGTGCTGGTTTTTCCGTACTTCCTAGAGGTGTTAAGCCCAGGGTTATATGCCCGGATGACAACTTGTTCTACCACGTTAATCACCGCCTCATCCCCGAACAAAATAGGAATCGGGGCATAGTGGTCAATACCAGTTTTCCTCAACCAATTATGAACCTTCTGCTTACTGTATTTTTTAACTGCCCTGCGGTATTCCGCCCATCTTTCCTTGAGGGTCCGTGAGGTCTTTCCAACATAGACAGGACTCTGACTGAGCAACAAGAGGAAATACACACATTTACCCCCTTTAAGTAGTCTATCCCAGTCCTGTTCGCTAAATCTTAGCCAGAATCAAACATACGTCTTGCCCCACTTAATATCCCCCCTAAGGCAGGCAACGAGGATAATCAGCACATGAACTTGATCCAGCAACGTGGCTATTCGTTGTCCTACACACTACTTAAGAGACCGAATCTGTTCCACCACACGCCTCAGCGATCTCAGGCTACCGAAACTTAGTTTCCCCCGACTGTATCGTCGTCGACGGCTTCATCCCGGCTCACTTCGTTCTTCCACGATGGTCCTGCAACTACAGTGGATTCATCAGCATTCAGCTGATCAGTGTAATCTTGAAGGTCCAGCCTGGCGAGTTCCCAAGCTCCCATTTCCTTACGGTAGTACTGGATCCCTTTCTGTTTACACATCTTTTGCACTCTGGAGTAGTGCAGAGAATGGTAGAAGTCCAAACGAATCTTCATGTAGGCAGCAAGGCCCCCTTCATCACCTTCTTCTTCGTCCTTGGCGCACGTAGCATTCTGCACCAGGTCCACATCATCACCTTCTACTGGCGCGTACTTAGCCGGCTCTGGTTCAACAACTTTCGCCTTGCCTTTCCCGTCGCCCAACCCTTGCATAAACGCAGCAAGCATCTTCTTAATCTCACTTAGCTCACTGCTCCCTTCCATCTTTGCTTGTAGATTCTGTTTGACACCAGCTTGCCCTTCATCATCAGATGAAACGTCGATTCCTTTCGACCTTGATTTCACCTTGGCACTTCCCCGTGACCAAGTCTTGACCCGATTCGCGGATGGTGAATTGATCACCGGTGTTCGCTCCCCACCTCTCTTACGTTTCGCACTACTCGTGGAGTCAATACTGATTTTCTCCGCCCGAGCTTTCTCACTACGAAGTCGTTCGAGCTCTTCCTTCTCGCCTGATGTCAATTTCGACTTCTTGTCTACCTCTTCGAGTTTCTCGTTGATCAGCTTAAGCGAATCTCCCAGCGTGGTGGTAACCCACGCTTTCATTTCGTAAGTTTTATCCGACTTCTCACTCTTCACTCCGGTGCGATTCTCGCTTCGGCTGCTCTCACTTGGCAGCTCCGTAATGCGAACGCCACCTCTCCTTGAAGTCGCAATCCTCTTCTTAGCATCGTCTAACGCCTTGTCCATCTTGATACCTTCAAGGAGATCCATATACTCCTTGGTGAAATAAGCCCGATTGCCGGGCCCGGGAAACACATTCGCAACAGGTCCCTTCGTATCACAATTGGACGAACCGTTCCCCTGATTCGCATGCCCGGAGGCTTGCTGATTCACCAGCGGTGCCATCGGCATCTGCGGCGCACTCCATTGCTGGATCGAAGGCCACTGGCCCACAGCATGCCATGGCTGTCCTGGCCATTGTCCCTGTGGTTGGACCTGGAATTGAGCTGGCACGGTAGGCGGAATCCCTGGTGGTGCGCTGAACTGTTGTGGGAACAACCCCGGAGGTGGTGGGTTTTGAGCCGGATTCGTTGCAGTGTTAAGCTGCGCAGGTCTGGTCGGCGCGAATCCCCCGTTGGCATTCGGCGCGTACCCGTTATTACTACTCCCTTCCATCCAGTAGCGTCCGCAATTCGACCACCGACCTTTCCTACCCCCGCCTCTCTTGCCATGCCCCCTCCCGTACATGCGCCCAACTGCACACGTTAGGAGAATGCCGATACTGATGCCCACAAGTACAATACGGCTCCGCCTTGCTTGTAAATCAGCCAATTGTTACTCCTTGCAATCAGCACCTTGTGCCGCTATTTACCACTCCTTGGAATCAACACCCAACGCATATCAGTGCTTGACATGCCATCAACCGCCGAATAATGCAACCCGCGGCTCCTCCAAATGGAACAAACGGAGATCGTACCACACTCAAGCGACCGGATCCCGTCCAAGTTACATGACGGAGCGATTATAATACTCCAATCTTAGTGTGCAACAGTGTACAACAGTGGTGCTATCGATAGAGCGTCAAGATTCCCAAGTGTCCACGCCAGAGCCCTTCGCGAAGAAAGCGGGTGAAGAGGAATAGAGATTGGGCGACAGAGGAATAGAAATTAACGCCGCAGCTCCCCCACTGACGAAAACATACCATACAAACGGCGATGCATCACACCGTGGTAAAAGTAGCAGAGGGTACCAAAGGTACGCAAATACATAAATAAATAAGTAGAATTATAACCTTATAAAATTATAAGATTATAAGAATATAAGAAATATGCGAGGACAACAATGCACAACTCTCAGCAATGTGAGAAGTCCGCACCCCATTCTCGTTCCCAAGCCACGGCAAGGTCGAAAATGAGGCTCTTCACCATGAGACAATACAATGGATACACAATAAGAAGGAGATGATATGAGCTTTAATATCGTGACGCCATCACCTTCTCCCCGGCACAAAACCTCAACCCACACTGTTGAGGAATCTCAATCCTTCCACTCATACGTCACTCAGATCGAGGTATAATTCCTACGCTACTACTTCTTAAATAGTATCTAATTACTCTGCTACGCCATACTGAAAAAACGTAGAATCGCAAAGTACGGACTCTCATAAGGCAGCAATATTATGGCAAGGCTGATCACGTGGGTTAGTTACCTTAGGGGTCCTTAGGGCCTTGCTTTGGGGGCACAGGAACACATGTGGGATAGGGGGGTCCCGTCAGGGGGGGGATTAGGTAGGAGAGTCCTAAGGTAGGACTTCTCTGGGGGGTAAACCAGAATAGGCCCAGTCGATGATAGAGGTAAGAGGAATGGATGGTGGCCTAGTACGTACCAATGACTTTGACTGGTGCTGCTCTGGATGAGGACTCTGGTGGGAATCGTTTAGTAGGGGCTGTTATAAGGATAGATAATGGTGGGATAGTTTGCTTCCTACATTGACAAATAGAGCAGAGTAGGCCTAGTTGATGATGCAGGTAAGAAGAAAAGATGGTGGCCTAGTACAAACTAATGATGGAAATTGGGTCTTCTCCGCATGATGACAACTTTCAAGATAGTGGCTGGAGGGTCTAGTTTATGACCGAGGTAAGCGGACGGATGGTGGTTGTGGACCAGTCACCAGTCACCAGCCAATGACAGAGGCTAGGGTACCTCTAGGTGGCTTACAATCAACAACAATCAGAATAACAATAGTACAACGATGACAATGTGACCAGAAAGGGTCTAGGAGGACATCTAGAGGTAGAGGGGCGGATGGTGGCCGTACCTCTACTGATAAATTAAATAGGCTAGAACCTCTACGTTACAATTACAATATCAGCGCTACATATAATGAACGACTAGCTTCGCGCCCAAGGTGCGGGTGGTGTGGGCGGTGCGGGCTACGCCCGCAGAAAAAAAAAGAACATGGCAAAGATCAGTTAGAGTACTCACACAGACTCCAATGGACATATTATAGAGCACAACACATTAACCTGTAGTCGAAAGAGGCTCAAAGTAACTCTACGTTCATGTGCATTTCTTAAACTAAAACAATATATATATATATATATATATATATATATATATATATATATATATATATATATCG